CAGGGATGTTGTCTGGTCCTGCTGCTTTCCGGGTGTTGATGGTGGAGAAAGTCTTTCCCACGCTGGCAGCAGACAGGTACAGAGTCTGGTCATGCGAAGGCAGTGGGGTTTTCTGTGGTCGGGTGTTGTTTTGTGCTTCAAAGCGTGCAAAGAAGTTGTTCAGGTTATTGAGCAGAGAGGTGTCGCTCTCACAGCTCTGTGGCGCTGGCTTGTAGTCCGTGATGGCCTGAATGCCCTGCCATAGGCTCTGTGCATCTCTGCTGTTCTCGAAATGGGAGGTTATCTGGTGTGTATACTTTTTCTTTGCTTGCCTGATGCCCCGAGACAGGTTTGCTCTTGCTGTTCTCAGGCCAGATTCATCCCCCGTTCTGAAGGCGTTGTCTCTGGTCCTCAGCAACCGGTGGACTTCCCCTGTCAGCCATGGCTTCTGGTTAGCCCGAGTGGTGATGCTTTTCATGTGGGTCACATCATCAATGCATTTAGTGATGTAGGAGATCACTGTGTCTGTGTACTCCTCAATATCTGTGCTGTTGTAAGTGGCTGCCTGCTTAAACATCTCCCAGTCTGTTGTTCCAAAGCAATTTTGAAGAGCAGAGGAAGCTTCCTCTGGCCACACTCTTACTTGCTTTAGAACCGGTTTGGTGACTTTTACTCTCTGTCTGTATGCTGGCATTAGCATAACAGTGATGTGATCAGAGAGGCCGATGTGGGGGAGGGGGGAGGCTTTGTATGCTCCTTTGTGGGAAGTGTAAACCAGGTCCAAGATGTTATCTCCCCTTGTTGGGAAATGCACATGCTGATGAAATTTCGGAAGGACAGTCTTGAGATCAGCATGATTGAAATCTCCAGCGAGGATGATGAAACCATCTGGGTGTGCTGTCTGTTGTTCACTGATGGCCTGATACAGTTCATTAAGTGCTGCGTTTCTATCCCTGTTGTTGTTAGTGGGAGGGATATAGACAGCGACTAAAAAAATCGCACTTATCTCTCTGGGGAGATAGAAAGGACGGCACTTAACGATCAAAAACTCCGCCAGTGGTGAACAGTGTTTGCATACTACAGTGGCGTCCCGGCACCACACATCCCGGATGTAAACACAGACTCCACCGCCTCGTGTCTTCCCTCCATCTACGAGTGCCCTGTCCGCTCGGTAGCATGCTAGCTGCTCCAATTGTACAGCAGAGTCGGGAATGTTGTCGTTTAGCCATGTTTCAGTGAAAATAAGCACACAGCACTCACTCACTTTTCGATTCGCTGATCGCAGCAGTCGTATATGATCCATTTTGTTGTCCAAAGATCATAGATTAGCCAAGAGGATAGATGGTATGGCTGGACGAGTTGGATTAGCCTCTAGCCTGGCTCGAATACCTCCGCGCCTGCCTCGCTTCTTTGTCCTTGCGCACCGCTTCCGACGCTTCCTTCCCGGGGGAGGGGTAGCAGGCGAGTCCGGTGTGGTAGCAGGCCAGCGTAGCAGTCCAAGCTCCATTAGTGTCTCTGTGTCAAAAACTTTGCAGGTCTCGCTTCTTTGAATGTCTAAGAGAGCCTGTCGACTGTACTTGTATTCCGACGTAGACTGATGTGAAAAACTTACAGACAAACACTTGCTTGACGAACAAAACACCGCATTATCGGGAGAGCGAGAGGTCGCTGCGTCCACACGTGCCGCCATCTTGAATGTCAGGTTTCTCAAGAGATAAATAAGATGGTCTGGTACTCCAATCTCTTTAAGAACTTGCCACAATTTGTTGTGCTCCACACAATCAAAGGCTTTAGCATAGTCAATGAAGCAGAAGTAGATGTTTTTCTGGAATCCCTAGCTTTCTCCATGATCCAGCGTATCTTGGCAATTTGATCTCTACTTCCTCTGCCCCTTCGAAACCCTCCCAGCTGGCATTTTAACGTGGAGTCAGCGTTGAATCAACGTCAGGTGTCAGTGTTGGATAACCGTTGGATTTTGTTTAGATTTTGCAAATCTAATCAACGTTGAAATAGCAACGTCATTCCAACGTCACGTTTGTCAACATAGGTGAATTTGCCAACATTGAATCAATATTGATTTTAGTTTAGATTTTGCAAATCNAGGCTTTGTATGCTCCTTTGTGGGAAGTGTAAACCAGGTCCAAGATGTTATCTCCCCTTGTTGGGAAATGCACATGCTGATGAAATTTCGGAAGGACAGTCTTGAGATCAGCATGATTGAAATCTCCAGCGAGGATGATGAAACCATCTGGGTGTGCTGTCTGTTGTTCGCTGATGGCCTGATACAGTTCATTAAGTGCTGCGTTTCTATCCCTGTTGTTGTTAGTGGGAGGGATATAGACAGCGACTAAAAAAATTGCACTTATCTCTCTGGGGAGATAGAAAGGACGGCACTTAACGATCAAAAACTCCGCCAGTGGTGAACAGTGTTTGCATACTACAGTGGCATCCCGGCACCACGCATCCCGGATGTAAACACAGACTCCACCGCCTCGTGTCTTCCCTCCATCTACGAGTGCCCTGTCCGCTCAGTAGCATGCTAGCTGCTCCAATTGTACAGCGGAGTCGGGAATGTTGTCGTTTAGCCATGTTTCAGTGAAAATAAGCACACAGCACTCACTCACTTTTCGATTCGCTGATCGCAGCAGTCGTATATGATCCATTTTGTTGTCCAAAGATCGTAGATTAGCCAAGAGGATAGATGGTATGGCTGGGCGAGTTGGATTAGCCTCTAGCCTGGCTCGGATACCTCCGCGCCTGCCTCGCTTCTTTGTCCTTGCGCACCGCTTCCGACGCTTCCTTCCCGGGGGAGGGGTAGCAGGCGAGTCCGGTGTGGTAGCAGGCCAGCGTAGCAGTCCAAGCTCCATTAGTGTCTCTGTGTCAAAAACTTTGCAGGTCTCGCTTCTTTGAATGTCTAAGAGAGCCTGTCGACTGTACTTGTATTCCGACGTAGACTGATGCGAAAAACTTACAGACAAACACTTGCTTGACGAACAAAACACCGCATTATCGGGAACACCGCATTATCGGGATTTGATTTTTAAATCCAGTTACCGCAGGCGCCGCTATTGCAGGCTAACTTCAGTACGTATGCTATTTTAAGCTAGCAAGGAAAAAATACGACTCACAGTTTGCAGTCGTCGGGCTCTGCCAGCCGAAACTTCCTTCCGTGTTCCATGAAAGCCAGGTTTTTTGACTAAGAAATGTAGTGTCCAAATCCAAAAATGGAGCCTAAGGTTGACGCTTTGCTCTCTCTCTCATCTGAAAACGTAAGACAAAGATTTAAAGAAAAGAAGCGGCGACAAAAGAAATACGCAAATCCGTTCGCTTAACTTAAAACTGTTTACTAAATCGAATAACACT